TGGTAAAAAAAAGAAAAAAAAGAATTCATTTAGGCCAGGCACCATGGCTCATGCCTGTAATCTCTGCACTTTGGGAGGTCAACGTGGGTGGGTCACAAGGTCAGGAGTCCAAGACCAGCCTGGCCAACATGGTGAAACCCTGTCTCTATTAAAAATACAAAAATTAGCTGGGCATATACCAGTAATTCCAGCTACTCAGGAGCCCTGAGGCAGGAGAATTGCTTGAACTGGGACCCGGGAGGTGGAGATTGCAGTGAGCCGAGATTGCGCCACCGCATTCCAGTCTGGGCTACAACTGACTTCCCACATATCTACTCACACTATTTAAAGCACCTTCAGCAATAGTTTTTTACTAATTTAACCTGGATGCACGACATAGTACTACTTAGTAATTGGCAAGTTGTTCGTGTCACTTTTTAGTTATTTTAAGAGACAGGGTTTTGCTTTTTTGCCCTGGCTGGAATGCAGGGCACAGTCACAATTCATTGCAGCTTCATGCATGGGGGCTGAAGAGATCCTCCGCCTCAGCCTCCCGAGTAGCTGGGACTACAAGCAAGAGTTACCATGCCCCAATACTTTTTTTTTCCTTTGAGATGGAGTCTTGCTCTGTCACCAATAGATTGGAGTGCAGTGGTTCGATCTCTGCTCACTGCAACCTCTGCCTACCAGGTTCAAGCAATTCTCCTGCCTCAGTTTCCCAAGTAGCTGGGACTACAGGCACCTGTCACCACACCCAGCTAATTTTTGTATTTTTAGTAGAGACAGGGTTTCAGCATGTTGGCCAGGATCATCTTGATATCTTGACCTCGTGATCCGCCTACCTCAGCCTCCCAAAGTGCTGGGATTACAGGTGTGAGCCACCGCGCCTGGCTTTTTCTTTTTTCTTTTTTTGAGACTGAGTCTCAATTTGTCGCCCAGGCTAGAGTGCAGTGGTGCGATATCGGTTCACTGTAACCTCTGCCTCCTGGGTTCAAGCAATTTTCGTGCCTTGGTCTCCTGAGTAGCTGGGATTAGGCGCCTGCCACCATGCCCGGCTAATTTTTGTATTTTTAGTAGAGATGGGGTTTTACCATGTTGGCAGGGTGGTTTTGAACTCCTAAGCTCAGTAGATCTACCTGCCTTGGCCTCCCAAAGTGTTGGGATTACAGGCGTGAGCCACCTCACCCAGCCTACTTTTAAAAACTATTTTGTAGAGACAAGGTCTCGCCATCTGGCCCAGACTGGTCTTAAACTCCAGGCCTCAAGTGATCCTCATACCTGGGCTTCCCAAACTGCTGGGATTACAAGTGTGAGCCACTGTACCAGGCTCATATAACTTTAAATAACTAGTCACTATATATAAGCTCTTTCAATTAACTTTATTGAATATCCAAGTGGATAAGTTAGCACAGATCAAACGATTGTTTGCATGGGTTACAAATGACTTTGTTTTTTTATACAGGAATAAGACAGTGAAAATTACAAACTGTAAAAAGGAAGACAAATCTTGTTTCCAACATTTCAGAGAAGCAAGATTTAACACAGCACATTGAAGATCAATACATACTTGAATCTGAGAACAAGAATTTGATATTACAATATTATACACTACTTTACAAAATTAAAATTTCTATATAAGGATTACATTTATAATAGTTAACAAAAGCTTGAAATCACATTTGGTGGTCCCCTAGATAATAGCTGTTATGCATCTTTGATTAGAAGAAATAAATCTTTATTCTAATTATTGCAAAACAGTCTATTAGACTCAATACATTACATTAAATTAAAAACAGTGAAAATATATGTAAACTAAAATAAATGGTAACTGCTTGAGTGACTATTAGTATGTCAGACTTACAGAAACGTTATTTTAAAAATCCTAGAAATTAGAAAAATAGAGTACTTTTTATGGTAGAACTGCCATGCTCAGATTTAAATACCAAGATTGCCCTTGTCTATTACATTAGTAGTTGTAGATCTGTAGAAAATTCAAGGATATTTCATAATTTACAACTATGATAAAAAAAATATGGCATAGTGTAAATATTAGTTGCTTTACATCAAAAAGTAATACAAGATGATATGGCAGGTAGTGCCCTATTGGAAAAAAAAAAAAGAATCAAACTAAAAACACATTCAACATTGCAAAAAATAATTGCTTTGTATCAATATCTCCAAAGGCTCATTCATTCTCGCTTTATGTGGAGAACAAATATTGTGAATCCTAACTAAAGTTATGTTTTTCATGACCTGTTATAAAAATTATTCTGGATTGCACATGTTACACAGTATCTAAAATAATTTTTAAAAGTAAATTTGTGAAATATACTAATAAAGCATGTGGTATTAACAAGAGTCATACCCACTTAGGGATGTAGTGAGGCACAAGGAAGATTATCCCTAGAAGCACAAATGTTTCCCTCTGGAAGATTCTGTACTACTTTTAAGAAAGGACCTACAAATAACTCCACTTAAAATCACATTAAGAGGAACATTTTAGTATTTTAAGAAACATCTGTACATAATGACTATTTATTTTTTTTTTATCTTTGAGACAGTTTTTGCTCTTGTTGCCCAGTTTGTAGTGCAATGGCGTGATCTTGGCTCACTGCAACCTCTGTCTCCTAGGTTCAAGCAATTCTCCTGCCTCAGCCTCCGAGTAGCTGGGATTACAGGCACCTGCCACCATGCCCAGCTAACTTTGTATTTTTAGTAGAGATGGGGTTTCTCCATGTTGGTCAGGCTGGTCCTGAATTCCCGACATCAGGTGATCCACCCGCCTCAGCCTCCCAAAGTGCTGGGATTACAGGCATGGGCCACCACATCCAGATCATAACGACTGTTTCTTTAAAAGAGGGGATAATATAATTTGCTTCAATTTGAAAATTGCTTCCTATAAGATGAAGCGACTTTCAAGAAAACTTCCAGTTCAATGTGCCACCTGCACACTGCAAACCAACCTTAACACTGCTTAAGGGAGATATTTTCATAAAACATGATTATTTTGATCCAGCTGGCAAGCAGTAGTTGTATACTGTAGAGGGACTGCTTCTTCCCTCTCCAAAACAACTCTGTTAAAGTCAGCTCATATTGATATAAACCTGAAAGTTACTATTTCATTGGTGATCATGTAAGACCAAGATTGTAAACACATTTTCTAACCCATTATAACAAAACAAAAAAACCCAAAATATTTTGATCAAGTATTATACATGAACATATTTTAAGAAATTCATAAGACAAAATGAATTATGAAAACTGAGCCACTCATAAAGATATGTCACAGCACTTTAAATATACAAATGTATAATTTACCTATTTGTAAACAAAATTCACTCAATAGTTTTGACTATAATATTTCTTTAGCTGAATCAAGAAAGCAGTCTCTTAAGGATTTTCAGAAATCAAGTTTCTTTTATAACTTCAATATGTTGGATGTGTGTAATCTTAATATCCATCAAATCAATCAGCAGCATTTATGCCTTAATAAGATTTTCATATTAAAGAATAAATACTTCTTATGAGTGACTTCCAATTTAACAATTAAACTCCTTAAAAAATTTTACTGATGTTTTTGGATAGCACTTTAAAACCTTTCATTTCTTTCATTCACCCTCATTTCACCAAAAAAACCCCACTTTTACTACATACCCAGAGCAGAAATGTACCAAACAAAATCCACTTTTGGATCAAGATAAATTAAAGTTTCTTATCTCCCTATTATTATTGCCAGTCCCAATGTTTATGAAGCAGCTCAAATTCTTTTCACTACAGATTAAGACAGTATGTCCAAGTGTTGGGCAGGAAATCAGAAAACCACCTAATGATAGTTCTCACTTCAAATCAAAGAGACTTTGTTCTTCAAGTATAAAGAATACTGACAGATTTTAAAGCTTGAACGTGTTACTTCATATTTTTCTCAAGCTATACTATAATTAGTTAACTCTAGTTTTAGGCAACATAATGATCCTTTCCCTTCCTTAAAAAAGAAAAAAAGAAAAAAAAGGACAGGTGTGGGGATTGAATCCTAGTCTTCCTACATTATATTTATTTCCAATTGTTTTTATTTTAAAAACATTACTATCAATGAATCTGTAACTTCCCTGCAACACTTAGTCTTGTGAGGTTTTAAATGTAGCAGCCAAAAATTCAGAAAAATAAAAAATGAGAAATATACATGTAGAACACAGAAATCTTTATTTTACAAAATGTACTTTGCCTCTGCAATATTGTCTTGTCTTATTTTAATCCATAACAACTCAAACATAATTGGCAAGAAAAAAGTATCCAATCATATGTAGCTAGATTCTGATTTGAAAAATACAATATTTCAAAGTTGCATGTTTGCTTCTCTGCTGTGGTCTTTTATTTGCTATAGGTTGTTGAAATCACAGTGAGAACATCTCAATCAACACATTAGTCCACAAACGATAGAAAAAGAAGGTATTACACATTTCCAGGTATTCTGCACTATTGTGACATTCCTTAGAAATAATTAAGTCAAACTTCGTCATTTGTTCATTTATTCACTTGTTGCTGTATATGCAACAGGAATTCATAATATGATAATGCAGATTCTGTTCTGTCTTCTATCATGTTTTGAAGGAAGTTTGCTTTCATTGGACTCTCATCCCTTAGGAATAAAAGGCAAAAATTTTTAGATAAAATGTAACAGTAAAATAAACAGACTTGTCAGAAAGCTTTTTTTTGTTTTTTTTTGAGACAGAGTCTCGAACTGTCCCCCAGGCTATAGTGCAGTGGTGACATCTCTGCTCACTGCAATCTCCACATCCTGGGTTTTAGCAATTCCCCTGCCTCAGCCTCCTGAGTAGCTGGGGTTACAGGTGTGCGTCACCACGCCCAGCTAATTTTTTTGTATTTTTAGTAGAGATGGTGTTTCATGTTGTCCATGATGCGCTCCATCTCCTGACCTCGTGATCCACTTGCCTTGGCCTCCCAAAGTGCTGGGATTACAGGCGTGAGCCACCGTACCTGGCCCATCAGAAGACTTTTGATTTCCTCATAACCATCATAACATTTACTATATAAACAGTTATTTCTAGAGGCTTTCTCTGAAAATACTTGGTTAGGTGAACTTCAAGTTGTTTAAGGGAAAAGCTTATGGTAGAATTAAGATAGGCAGTTGATACAGAAATTCCACTTCTGAGTACATATACAAAGGAATTGAAATCAGTTTATCAAAGAGATGCCTGCACTTCCATGATCATTGCAGCATTATTCACAACACCCAAGATAAAGAAATAACTAAATGAATGGATTTTTCAAATGGGGTATATATATACAATGGAATTCCATTCAGCCTTTAAAAAACAGGAAATTTTGTCATTTGTGACATGGATGGAGCTAAAAGACATTACGCTAACTGAAATAAACCAGGCACAGAGAGACAAATACCACAAGAACTAGCTTATGTGTGGAATCTAAAAAAGTTGAACCCATGTAAGTAGAAAGTAGAATTATGGTTATCAGAGGCTAGGGGGCAGAAGGTGGGTGTGGAGAAGGAAAGAAGAGATGTTAGTCAAAGGGTACAAAATTTTGTTAGGAGGAATAGATTCTGGTTACCTATTACACAGTATGATGGCTATGGTTAATGATAATGTATTGCATATTTTAAAATAGGCAAAATAATGAGTTTTAAATGTTCTCACTACAAAGAAACAATAATTGGCTGAGGAGATGTATACGTTAATTAGCCTAATTTGACCAGTCCATAATGTATACAAGGATCAAGATATTGCGGTGGCTCATGCCTGTAATCCCAGAACTTTGGGAGGCTGAGGCGGGTGGATCACAAGGTCAGGAGTTCAAGACCAGCCTGACCAACATGGTGAAACCCTGTCTCTACTAAAAATACAAAAAATTAGCCGGGTGTGGTGGTGCGTGCCTGCACTCCCAGACTTAGGAGGCTGAGGGAGGAGAATCGCTTGAACCCGGGAAGCGGAGGTTGCTGTGAGCCGAGATCTCGCCACTGCACTCCAGCCTGGGTGACAGAGTGAGACTCCGTCTCAAAACAAAAACAAAAAAGAAATCAGTGTACCCCATAAATATATACACCTATTATTAGTCAATTAAAAATGAAAAAAGTGGGCCAGGCGTGGTGGCTCATGCCTGTAATCCCAGCACTTTGGGAGGCTGAGGTAGGTGGATTGCCTGAGCTCAGGAATTCAAGACCAGCCTGGGCAACATGGTGGAACCTCGTCTCTACTAAAATACAGAAAATTGGCTGGGCATGGCAGCATTCACCTGTAGGCCCAGCTACTTGGTAGGCTGAGGCAGGAGAACTGCAAGAACCCGGGAGGCAGAGGTTGCAGTGAGCTAAGACTGTGCCACTGCACTGCAGCCTGGGCAACA